CAACAAGAGGGTATCATCCGCATACTCCAGGTCATACGCAGAGTGCGCTACTGACCAAACGTTGGTGGGCGTGCCGCCAAGGGCAAGGTCCGTGTCAAGGTCGTGTAACATTACACTCAGGACAATGATAAACAGGTAGGGGCTAAGTGGGCAGCCTTGACGAATACCTCATGAACTGTGCCCTCACATTCCGCATTGTTGAACCCCCTAACGTAGAAAAGAGGATTGTGCTAAATACTAGCGACACTACGCAACATTCGGGAAGATAGCCCAAACCTTTCAAGAGCATGCAGCATGGCGGTGTGATCCAGAGAATCAAACGCTTGCTTCCAGTCCAGAAACAGCAGGTGTAGCGGGGTGTTAGTCATTGTTGACCATTCCATTGCCCTTCTTAAGATAAACAATGGCTGTGTGGTACTGCGTTTAGATCTGAATCCGTACTGTGTGCTTCTGAGTCTAGAATCAAAGCACATTGCCAATCTAGTCTGAAGCATAGCTGAGTAGATTTTGTAAACTGCATTAAGTAAGGAGATGGGGCGGTATGATGAGGGGTCGGAGTCGCTACCCTTATTCTTGAAGATGGTGACTACTCTAGCCTCTACCCAAGATCGCGGGACATCCCCTTCCATCCAAATTTTATTATAGATTTCCAGGAGTATCTCTTCGGATTGCGCGTCTAGGTTTTGGAAGAGTTCTCCTAAGACTCCATCGGGACCCGGGGCTTTTCCGGCTTTAATTTTAGCTAGGGCGTCCTGAAGGTCTTGAAGAGTGAAGGCGCACTCATCAGCCTGAGTTGGATGGAGGTGTGGTCTGGTGTTTCTCCTATCGGCGGCTGCTTGGTTGATTGTGGGTGTGGCCCATTGCGAGTTTTGCAGATGATTACGGAATACCTCGTGCGTCCTCGACCAAGGTTGCGGCTCGCCGTCTTTTGTAGGTGAGCTCGTCTTCCCTGAAACCTTTTTTTTGGCGGCGCACCACGTTCCAAACCGTTGACGAGGTACCAGCTGGGTCCCTAGTAAGCTCCCGATGTACCCAAGCTACCCTGTCCTTTTTGGCCAGCCGTTTAGCTTTGTTGCGGAGCTCCTTCCAGTTTGGAGCTTGTGTAGCCTTGGCTCTTCGTGCCTCCTCCAAGGCGAGCAGAGTGCCATCTGAAATCCAGGGTGTTCGAGGAACAAGCTGCCTATAGGAAATTGTATCCTTAGCTGCTTCTCTCATAGCTGTGACAAAAGTATCGGCGGCGTGGTCTGTCCTATGGGGTCGTGGGTACGAGATAGTAACGTAAGGTAGGGTCCTTCCCCCTGAACCTCATAGCTGTGTTTGCCAATTTCCGCTAATCTATCCGCCCTTTCATTTCCCTCATTACCATGATGTCCCTTGACCCAAGTAAAGTTGATTACCATCCCTGATTTACGGTACACTTTCTGGGCTGCCTGAACCAAGGCCTTGTTAGCCTTTGCCCTCCACTTACCCGTTATGACCTTGATAGCCCACTGACTGTCTTATGGACGTGAGTGTATTCATGCTCCGAAGCATACAGCAGGGCTTCAATGATGGCAGTGATCTCGCCAGTGTTGTTAGAACCCACCGTAGCCCCTAAGTATGAAAAATGATTCGGGGAAGTGATTACGGGTTCGCAAGCCTCCAGCCAGGTTTCACCTAGTTTACTCGCCCAGCCCCATCCTGCAGCTGTGTGCGCGCTACATCTACCTCTACTTCCTGAGCCGTCTGTGTAGAGATTAATGGAAGCGGTGTGGTCCACTGTCTCTGCAGGATCCGTGACCACGTCCAGGATGTTAGCTAGAATTTCATTATATAGGTCCTTTTGAGCCTGGGAGAGCTTTGCAAAGTCAAACCTTGGGGGCGGTGGCGCTGATTTAGTTCTCTTTGCCAGCTTGACTTGAACTTCTGTGACAAGGAGATAATGGTCCGAAGGGAATCCTGTGTAAAGCTTGGATCTACAAGAATTGATAGAGGGCAACCACTGTTTTCTGGTAAAGGTGTGGTCTAGTCTGTGGAATAGCACAGGGTTGGGGCGAGGGTCCGTAGAAGGCGGGGGCAACGGATGCGGGAGGTCAAGGAAAGATCTAACCCTAGCAGCTATTGGAAGGGCCTCCACAGAATCCATGTGTGAGAGTTTGTCGTAGAATTGCTGCATGACTAACGGGTCGAGTACATACTGGGACCAATCCTGGGGTGGGGCTGCCTTGTCCCTGTACGTGATGTGATGCACTGGGGAAGGGGTCTTGTAGCTAGCTGCCTCTCTACCATGTCCAGCGTTCTCATGGCATTAACACACAGAGTCCTGTTAGAGAGGGCGGAGTGATCAATATATCTGCGGCCTTTTCCATATGTAAAGGGTCCTGTAACTCCATCATCCTTAGCATGTTGTGCCTGGACTCTGACATTAAAATCTCCCGTGAGATAAACTGGCTCGGGCTGGGGGATTTTATCAATGTGTTCCTCCAACTGATTCCAGAAAGGTTCTCTAACTGTCTCGAAGTCATGGCCTGAATGTGGTCCGTATGCTCCTATCACATGAATTCTTCCTCCTTTCTGATTAAAGGTAAGGTGAAGGATTCTGTTAGTAAGCTGGAGGACATCTGAAAGGTGTGGCCTGAGCTTGGGATGTATGACTTTCCCTACACCTGCATACTTGTCTCTCTGATTGCCTGAAAGGATCACCAAATGCCCCTCAGAAGAATAGGAATAATATGAAGTACTGCGAGTTTCACTTAGCATGACCACATCCAAATTGCGCTCACTCATTATTTGGATGATTGTCTTTAGCTTGAGTGTTTCTGCTAAACCCTGTACATTCAATGATCCTATTCTGAGCTTACTGTTATAAGCTAGAGGCGGTGTGATCTTGTTTTTTGACACCTTGGGCCTTTTGTTTCTGGGAGCTGTCTCCTGCTTCCATATTGTTCCCGTAAACCACTTTGCCCTTCTGGGAGTGGCTTTTGTGGACTGGCTGTGGGTGGGAAAGAGGGCGTAGGAACAGCATACATACACCAGACACTTGCCAAGTTCAGAACCCAAGACCCTAAAACCCTTGAAACCCAAGTTGCAGCTCATCTTTGCTGCCAGGTAACCTTGGATGAAATGAGCATTAGGGTAACTAAAGTCTACATTGGTTTTGCCCCCGAAATTACTCTTTCAAAAGGTGCTGCACGGTAACAGCTGGAATTCCACACACACATATGAAAACACATGTAGCGGCAACACGCTGGCAGGTGCGTCTCCACACACACATCACAGCATATGTGTTAGTTCCGTTTGCTTTCTCAGAAGCCGCGTGCTAGCAGCTGCACTTCCACACACATCACAGAGCATGTGTAGCAGCTAGGTGTTGTTCTTTGAACAGCTGCAAATGCCAAAACTGCAGCTAGAGTACGTCTAAGCAGCAAGCTTCCAGCCGAGCCTGAATGATCACCATGATGCGAGGACACAGCCTGCTGTACACTATCCTTTCATGGACGCCCGGCCGGACGCTTCAAAACTGCAGCTGGGCGCTTCAACATCCTGGTTCTGGCAAGGACATTGCGCCGCCGGGATATGCGAATCGGGACAGCCTGTAAGTTGTCGTTGTAGAAGTTACACATTTCCTCCACCCAGAAGCGATGCGACTTGGGACGAAGGTTGTTGAGAAAGAAATTGAGACCGCGAGCCCATGCATTCAAGGACTCCAATACGTTCGTCCTAACATTACGACAACGCCTCTGCTCACTGGGAGTCCACGTCTTCTTCTCGCACTTGTGATTGGAGGCATGGAACGCGTCCACCACATAGTAGTGAATCGAGGTGAAGGCTGCGGCATGCTTCTTGTGTGAGACGAACTGTTCGAAATGACAGATGTCGTCGTGGATCAGCAAGTCTGCCTTGACAAGCTCCATTTTCATGACTCCCTTCAACAGCCTGACTTTGTCGAGATTGTTTTCATTCTGAACGTGCTCTATCGCCCCCAGGACTCTTCGACTAGAAGGATCCACAGCGAACTGCCAGCCGGCAGTCCGCTGCGGAAGCACTACCCTGAGAGCATCCTTTGCGCGGCAAGAACAGCTACGATCATGCTCCCTCAGGAACTTGGTGCGAGGGTGCCCTTTCAAGCGCACTGTCCTAGGTGGGTCGAATGAAGACAAATGACGGTGGACGCCGAAGTGGCCGTCAAAGCTAATTGCGTTCACCACATCAGATGGAGGAAAGAGGAGTGCCCCATCCATCTTGGTGACATGTGCCGCGGGATAGGTTCCTTTGGGCCACTGCAAAACCCTCGACGGCGCGAAGGAGAAGTTCTCGTAAACGGCGTCCGGACGGTAGTCCCTGGCTCTTCTTGTGGTAGATCCGCTGCACTGCAGCTTCCTGCCCTGGGGACAGGTTGCCCCTAAGCAAACGGAGATATGTTAACTCCAGAAACGGAATTGTGAAGCCTGTCTTCGAGGTGACGAAGAACACACCAGAGCTCCTCATGTCGTCTAGGGACATGGTATTGATGAGCTCCCGGCCGAGAGTAACCACATTGCGCCGGACTGTGTGCCGACACCGATTGCATTGCTTGGACACGGTTGCGACGTCCGTAATTGATTCACTCCCAACCAAAATCGCATTGACGATTTTGTTCTTCCGCGTGAACAGCTTTCTCTTGCAGACAGGGCACACATCATGAGGGAAAACATACTTTTGCTTGGCCTGCCTTTGTTTGATCACCTGCTTCTTGAAGAATGCGCCGGGCTTCTGTAGAGCTGCGGGGCGTTTCATAGTGAGCGGAGGCCACAACTATATGGAAAGTGCTAAAAAAGATGGACAGCCTGCGTAAGCCAGACAACGCAAGCCCTATTATACGCGAGTAACTCAAACGCCGTAACTTAACGTATACGCATGCCACCTACTTCTTTTTGCTCAAGTAGCGGGCGCCCTTTCGATAGCCGAGGTTCATACAGGGTGGCTCAAGATCGCTGATATTGCTATCCTGGCCGTACACCTACACACTGTGTGTGACGTAACTACTCGTGCATTCCACGGGCAGCCTCCTCATCCGGGTCCTCTTCAGGCGTCGCGCGCGATGGATGCTCCACTCGATGCGGCATGAGGGTCGTTGCCATGGTCCTAGGAGTTGTCGCGAAGTCTTTCTTGTCAAGCGTCTCTCGGAGGAGGTAGAAATGTCGAAGGTGCCGAGCCTGCGAGGCGGATTTGCGCAAACAACAGGCGGGGCATCTGGATGCGGAACTGGAACACGGCTTTCCAGATGTACTGCTGTGGCCTTGAGAGTCGAGGACTCCACCCTGTTGGCAATCGTAGCATTGATTTCGCGAAGATAAGTCTCTGGGCGTCCGGCATGCCTGCATGCCTACATCATCTGAATGAGTGGGGGCAATTCCTGAACACCAACCTTGTACTTGGCATAGTACGACTTGTCGCGCTCAGTGAACAGGTCCACATGAAGATCATCCTCGTGAATGCAATGCACTAACGCATTATGGTCCTGGCTAGGCAACCTGAGATATAGCGCGTGCTTCCCAAAGATAAGGGCCACGCAGCGTTTGAGGATCGCCAGGACATCCACCTCCTTGTAGGAAGTGAAGAACTTCTTGACAAGTGCGAAGAACTCGGTAGGAGTGATGGAAGTGCGTCGCCTGTCGTGAGGGAGCTCATCCTCTTCATCCAAATCGTTAGCAGACAAGGCCCGCAAGCCGTTCCGTGCTAACTTCACGTCCGTGTATCGAGTACTGCAGTTCTGATCTTCCTCTGCAGTGAGCCAGGATTTCACATCTGCTGCATCGAGACGGTCCATGGATGGGTCATCCAGAATCAGCCCTTCGTGGATCTGCCCAGTCTTGCGCCGGAAATTGTCGATGCCCTTGGCACGCCGCCACGCCGGTGTCACGCCATCCAGATTAAGCCGCTGAATATGATAGCGGCCCAGCGCCAGACTGAGCACGATGAGGAATGGGGTCTTGCCCACTCCTGGCCATCCAACGGTGAGTACGCCGAAGGACGTAAGCAGCGGACCGATTAGCGGCACGAGGAACTCACCCACCGAACGGCTTAAGACTCTTGACCGTGTAGGAGAAGAAACTCAACGAGGTCGCGCCCACCGTACCTCGGGATTTGTTCTGGATGGGCGACCCACTCTCTGGTCTAATATTGGTTAGTATCCAGAGATACTGCTGGTTCTCAGAGTCATCCTCCGGTGCGTTCTGATTCACGAAGCTAACGCCCTTGCGGAGGTCATCTTCCTCCTGACCATTGGGCTGAATTGGAACTTGTTTTTTCCTTCTCCTCCAAGGACCACCATACTACGCGATGACCGGGCAGTTAATCTAAGAGAGAGTGAACCGCCTTCATCCATGT